TATATATATATATATATACACACACACGTATACATACATGCATACATACACACATACATAAATACATACATACACAAATGCAATTGTATAAACTGTTTTTTTTTTTTAGCTCTATAACCTTAAATATCAAATATTGAGCTTTGAACATTGTACAGTAGACATCCAGTGCAGTGCATATCCTGTCTTTGCCAAGTCTGAAATCATTACATAATATTGAATGTAATGTTGAAATGGCAGTTTTCACAACTTATTTGTTTTTTTTAGTTGTTTTCTTGAAGAGCTCAGTGGAACATCTCTGCCCCAAAGGAAGTGGCAGAAGCCAAGTCAGCCCTTCCTTACCTTTAACAATCAAAATACAAACATTTATACAGAATTGTGTTTCAGTTGTACTTGCCAAAATTAGTGTTAGATGATAATAGTCCAGTTAATATATAACTATATGCTAGAACATTATACTGTAGTATTTTGTAACTGATTGTTTCGATGTATCTGTGTTGCTGTGCAATAGAGGTTGTTGTGCAATCACTATTTAGTTAAATGTGTTACATGTGTTCTGGTCCTTGTATTGAAATCTAGTGGCTGAATATTAAAGGGATAGTTCACCCAAAAACTCTGTTATCATTTACTCACCCTCATGCCGTTTCAAACCTGTATGACTTTCCTTCTTTTGTGGAACACAAAAGAAGATACTTTGAAGAATGCTGATAATTGAACAGTTTTGGTGACCATTGACTAAGTATGGACAATAAAAAAAGGAAAAACTGAGATATTTCATCGTTTATGTTCACAGAACAGTGTTGTTATTGTTATTATACTAAATTAAAACCTTAACCTTGAAATTAAGCTGAAATAAAATTAGAACTTATTATTGAATTAGATTTAAAGTAGATAAATAGATCAATTTGAAATGTTGCCTTAGCAACTAACTGATAGAAGTTTAAGTACTAAAATTAAGTTTAAAAATATAGAAATATGAAGGTATATAGAAATATTTTAAAAAAACTAAATAATAAAAATGACAAAAGCACATATTCACTAAAACGGGAACTAAAATTAACAATTTAAATTTTTTATAAATACTCTAATAGTATATAAATAATATTAAACAACCTCCCACTGAAAAAAGAAAGCCATACAGGTTTGAAATGACATAAGGGGGAGTAAATGATGACAGAATTTAAATTTTTTGATAATAGCCTGTTCATTCATTTGTGTCAAACATGCAGGAGACCAAAGGTCCTATAGTTTGTTTCAGTCTCTCTAATGCAGACCCATTGTCAGATCATTTATGAATATGTGTTGGAGCTTTGCTACTAATGTTCGGATACAGCTCTGAGAGCAGCCCTGTGATTGCATTAGGCATGTGAGGAATGCTGTGCTCAAGCCCATGCACAACACCACCGAGAAATCCACTACGGCCCAGTGGAATTACGAGGCCTAGCTGAAGGGAGCCAAGCTGCCTTTATGACATGGCTAAATAGAGACTGGAATGGGGCTTTTTTAGGTCTCTGGAAGCTGAAACATGCTATCAGATGAAGAATAGTATGGAGTCAGACTTGATTTGGATCATGTTGTCTGGATACATTCCTGACTGGCTTATCTTTTGCTGTTGGTCCTGATGCTGGCTGATTATGATATGTATGAATGATCATCTTATGTACTAGTGTGAGTTTATGTAGTAACAATTCATTCATATTATCATTAGAGTAACATTTTTGGGTTACAACCCTCCATTTGAGAACAGCTGCTTTAAACTTAATTTATTTTTTGCCCTAAAGAGGAAAAAAATGATTAAAAAAAAATGTCAGAACTGAAAGCATAATATTTCACAGGCATATGTGAATTTCACAATCATAGGTTGATTTGTCTTTTTCCTGCATTCATGGGACAGCATGTACGAAAGCAGTACACACGGAGGAAATGCTCAGTTCATTCGTAGATGGGTGGTACAGTTTCCCCAGTAGAAATACAGTAAGCAGGGATGTCCCTTTTCTGGTCTTTTGAAACTGGTTAAAGGTTTTTATTGAGTCTGACTTCATGTCTCCTCGTTTTCAGATTTAGCTTGGCCAAAAGTTTATTGAGTTTGAATCTTGTTCCTGTGTCGTGCACCACATGCACCTAGACCTCCCATAACATGCCGAAATGGGCATACATTTCGGCATGTGTTTATTAGTAGTAATTTAGTCATTATTGTGAAATGACTCCGTTGTGGTGTGTGACTCGGTATTTTTAGTTCATCGTCGTCTTCTGACTGGGGCCTGTGTTCCTCCCTGACCCTCCGTACATTCCAGGAAGGTAAATGGCCGCCTCTGGTCCTTCCCTGAGCTGCTTTATTTTGGTCGCTATAGTTGGATTTCGCCTCACAAATTACACAGCAATGCGGCTGACGGTTACATAACCACCTCTGAAGGAGGAAATGTTTTAGTTGGGGAATGAAA